GCAGTAGAGAGTAAGACTTGTTGATATGTCATCAGCTACACTCTTTCTCCTTATTGTTACTCTTGGTGCAGTAGAGAGTAAGACTGTTGATGTGTCATCAGCTACACTCTTTCTCCTCATTGTTATTCTTGGTGCAGTAGAGAGTAAGACTTGTTGATATGTCATCAGCTACACTCTTTCTCCTTATTGTTACTCTTGGTGCAGTAGAGAGTAAGACTGTTGATGTGTCATCAGCTACACTCTTTCTCCTTATTGTTATTCTTGGTGCAGTAGAGAGTAAGACTTGTTGATGTGTCACCAGCTTCACTCTTTCTCCTTATTGTTATTCTTGGTGCAGTAGAGAGTAAGACTTGTTGATATGTCATCAGATACACTCTTTCTCCTTATTGTTATTCTTGGTGCAGTAGAGAGTAAGACTTGTTGATATGTCATCAGCTACACTCTTTCTCCTTATTGTTACTCTTGGTGCAGTAGAGAGTAAGACTGTTGATGTGTCATCAGCTACACTCTTTCTCCTTATTGTTATTCTTGGTGCAGTAGAGAGTAAGACTTGTTGATATGTCATCAGCTTCACTCTTTCTCCTTATTGTTATTCTGGGTGCAGTAGAGAGTAAGACTTGTTGATATGTCATCAGCTTCACTATTTCTCCTTATTGTTATTCTTGGTGCAGTAGAGAGTAAGACTTGTTGATATGTCATCAGCTACACTCTTTCTCCTTATTGTTATTCTTGGTGCAGTAGAGAGTAAGACTTGTTGATATGTCATCAGCTACACTCTTTCTCCTTATTGTTACTCTTGGTGCAGTAGAGAGTAAGACTGTTGATATGTCATCATCTACACTCTTTCTCCTTATTGTTATTCTTGGTGCAGTAGAGAGTAAGACTTGTTTATATGTCATCAGCTAAGTAAGACTGTTGATATGTCATCAGCTACACTCTTTCTCCTTATTTTTATTCTTGGTGCAGTAGAGAGTAAGACTTGTTTATATGTCATCAGCTAAGTAAGACTGTTGATATGTCATCAGCTACACTCTTTCTCCTTATTGTTATTCTTGGTGCAGTAGAGAGTAAGACTGTTGATATGTCATCAGCTACACTCTTTCTCCTTATTGTTATTCTTGGTGCAGTAGAGAGTAAGACTGTTGATATGTCATCAGATACACTCTTATTCCTTATTGTTATTCTTTGTGCAGTAGAGAGTTAGACTGTTGTTATGTCATCAGCTACACTCTTTCTCCTTATTGTTATTCTTGGTGCAGTAGAGAGTAAGACTTGTTGATATGTCATCAGCTACACTCTTTCTCCTTATTGTTATTCTTGGTGCAGTAGAGAGTAAGACTTGTTGATATGTCATCAGCTACACACTTTCTCCTTATTGTTATTCTTGGTTTAGTAGAGAGTAAGACTTGTTGATATGTCATCAGCTACACTCTTTTCTCCTTATTGTTATTCTTGGTGCATTAGAGAGTAAGACTGTTGATATGTCATCAGCTACACTCTTTCTCCTTATTGTTATTCTTGGTGTAGTAGAGAGTAAGACTGTTGATATGTCATCAGCTACACTCTTTCTCAATTTTGTTATTCTTGGTGCAGTACAGAGTAAGACTTGTTGGTATGTCATCAGCTACACTCTTTCTCCTTATTGTTATTCATGGTGCAGTAGAGAGTAAGACTGTTGAAATGTCATCAGCTACACTCTTTCTCCTTATTATTATTCTTGGTGCAGTAGAGAGTAAGACTTGTTGATATGTCATCAGCTACACTCTTTTCTCCTTATTGTTATTCTTGGTGCAGTAGAGAGTAAGACTGTTGATATGTCATCAGCTACACTCTTTCTCCTTATTGTTATTCTTGGTGTAGTAGAGAGTAAGACTGTTGATTTGTCATCAGCTACACTCTTTCTCAATTTTGTTATTCTTGGTGCAGTACAGAGTAAGACTTGTTGGTATGTCATCAGCTACACTCTTTCTCCTTATTGTTATTCATGGTGCAGTAGAGAGTAAGACTGTTGAAATGTCATCAGCTACACTCTTTCTCCTTATTATTATTCTTGGTGCAGTAGAGAATAAGACTTGTTGATATGTCATCAGCTACACTCTTTCTCCTTATTGTTATTCTTGGTCCAGTAGAGAGAAACATGATCAATATCATTAAATTAGATTCTTTCTTCTTAATATGAATAAAAATGCTTGGTTATCATACTAAACATTTTCAAAGTTACTATGTAAATAACGTTCTACTAAAACAATATCAAAACTCGAAAAAAAAACAAATGTTCTCAGAAAACATACAAACTGACAAGACCGGAAACAATGTCGATGTTTCACATACATACTTCACAGAGAAATTATTAACTGAGATTACAATGTCTAGAGTGTTCATACATTCTCCCTCAACTAAAAAAAAGTTTGTAAACCCAATTTTTATAGCAGTTGTAAATTCTATACAATGCATACCTTAACAAAAGGGAGATAATTTGTAGTGGATATGTTATTGAAAATATTACACATGTGATGCCAATTTTCTTTGTTTAAAATGCAGTACAAAATGAAATAATGGTTTCATTGTATACACTCATATCATTGAATGGTACCAAAAACTGTTAACACAGAGATATGTCTCTCCTTTTTGTAATTTTGATAATGCAAATGTTGAAATTAAAATAGCAATACTTTAACATTTAAGTTATGCAAATATTCAAAGTCAATGAACCATGACTGAAGGTACATGGCTAAATAATCTCCATGGAAATGAGATGTGCCAATGCTAATACAACTTCATACCAAATACCATTGACTTATCATAAGTCGTTCCCTTTAAACAAACCTTAACACAAACACTAACTTGTAACTATGTAAAAGTTTCAAAGTCAATGAACCATGATGAGGGGATGGGGCTATATAATCTTCATGGAAACGAGACTTGCAAATACCAAATATCATTGACTTAACATTAGCGGTTCATCTTAAACTGATCTAATCACAAACTAATACATGTAAACTAATCAAAAATTTCAAAATCAATAGACCATGACTGAGGAGGCAGGGCCAAATACTCTCCATGGAAATGAGATGTGCTAATGCTTATACAACTGCATACCAATTAACATTGGCCTACCACTAATGGTTCCCCTTGAATTGACCTAATCACAAACTAATACATGTTAACTAAGCAAAAGTTTCAAAGTCAATAGACTATAACTGAGGGGGCAGGGCCAAATAATCTCCATGACAATGAGATGTGCAAATGCTAATACAACTGCATACCAAATATCATTGACCTACCGCTAGTGGTTCACCATAAACTAGACCTAATCACAAGCTAATACATTGTTGACGCCACCACCGCCAGATACCTATGTCTGGCTTTTTGACTCTGTCAAGGCGAAACAAAAAAGCACCTGTTGTCGAGCTAAGCCCTTGTTATGAAAGCTATTAGCAAACATAAAGTAGGTGTCGGACAGATCTGAATAATGCTCACTCATTGTTACTTATCACTGTCAAGCTGCTGACCAAATATGAAGTCATCATTTTGTTCAGTAATATTGGAGAAAAGTGCAACAAAAATATTAGCTGGAAGAACAGGTGGAAAGATGCAGGGACAGACAGACGAAAGAATGACGAAGGTGAATGCAATATAGCATCCACTCCTAGAATGGGGATAAGACTGTAATGTAATTTTTTAATTTTGGATTTTTCATTTTCTAAAGGTTATTCCAAGAAAATGTCTTAGGGTTGGTTTAAGTGATTGAAAAATAAGGTATAACTAATTATATTTTTTTGTTCATTTGGCAGTTTTTTGTTAGTCAGTTAGGCAAATTATACTGTGGATTCATTTTTATTCGTGGTATACCAATTTTCGTGGGTTTCGTGGGTCACAGCGAACCACGAATTTAAGAATTCAACGAAGAATAATCCCGAGAAATGTGTATGGAGTCGATGTTTATTTCCAGTTATGTTATGCAGTTCTAGTATAGTGTTGACTAACGATAACATTGTAACATAACACTTGTTTTTCTTGAAAGAAGATACAAGTATTTTGATTAAATCAATAATAAATATATCGAATATCAGTGACAATTTACTTTTTAAAATTGATTTAAACTGTTCATGGAAAATAAATGCAAGTTGTTAATTACCGTGTCATAGTTTGGTTTACTGGTGATTAAAAATCAATAGGATTAACGGTGCGGGGATATTGCCCGTAGGTAATATTATTTATGACAGGAACATTTATTTTCACACCTTTTACTTATACTTATATATTATATCGTGATTAGGGAAATGAGCTTTCGATCATAGAGTTTTAAATGCCTTATAAAATTCCGACAAGAATTTATAAATTGTAAAACAAACAAATAATTAGTTGTCTCTGTCCATTATTGTAATAGAAGTTTTCAATGAACACTTTAACCTAGAATGACCAAGCGAGGATTTTGACAATTCAAAACCTTTTCAATGAATTCTTTCTTAACTGTTTGTTTTATTATTGATCAAACCAAGGAGGGTATATGATCTCCTAAATTAAAAAGAAATCCACGAATTACGTATCGGATTTTTTTTTTTTTTTGTTATCAGCGATCCACGAATTTACGTATACCACGAAACGTCTTTTTTTCTCTATCCACGAAAATTGATACCCACGAAAATAAATGAATCCACAGTAATAGTAATGAAGACTAGATGCTGTTAAGAACCTGAAACGCTCATCTGGCAAAACTATGTCATTTTAATATTTATTTCCACCTACCATGATCAATTTTTTTCTAGAACTAGATTAATCTATTTTCAAATGAATAGCTTTTCATGTGCATTCAAGGCTATTAAATTATTATTTCTTCAATGCCAGGATTGCATTATTCATTTATGCAAAAATCAGGATAGCAAATAATTCCCAGAATCTTCCAAGAAGAGGGACAACTACAAGAATGCACACCAAGTGAAGGTGAATAGCTCACAGGACTCGATGGACAAGGTGAGCTAAAAAAAAATAAAAGGAGCTTTTTCTAAAAATTTTAATGATCAGTTTTTCACATCTTTATATTTACAAAAGATTTTGTCCTGTATATGCAGATCCATTTGATCATTAAAGTTTTCATCATTAAACTGCTGAAGAAGTTCTTCTGATCTGATGTCTATAAGTGCATTTATTTTTAACTCCTGTTTTACTCGAGTAAAGTTTGACTGATCAACAAAATTGGATGAGATAGCTACTGATGTTTCCAGGTTCTCTACACGATGAGGACATCCAGCAGGTACAAACAAAACATCACCTGTAATAGATAAAATTGATCGTCTTAGTATTGAATGCTTGATCTGCAGAGGTAACTTTTACAATAACATGTTTATGATGTATGTATCCTACTTTAAAATATACTGAAATGCTGAGTCAGATGTCTCATTTTCTGACACTGAGCCATCCATCTTTGCTTTTAGTCATAAATGCTAAAAGATTCGCACAAAATAAGCAAATACAAATTTTATATTTTTCTTTTGAAGTTGAGGATTGAACCCATTACCTCCAATGCTCAAGACAAAATGCAACCATGAGATCAGCATACTGGTAAGTTAAAAATGATCAGACGTAACTTTCTACAAGAAACAATTCTAGAAGAGTAAAAATGTGTTCAGTTTTTGTGCAAACAAGTTGAACTGCTGAGCTATTGCTCATAAATGATACCACCACTAGGAAGTTGATGAGTAATTAATGTGAATACACATCACATAGTATAGCATGATCACATCGATTTGTCCAACTCGGGTTGGTAGAGTCTGTCGAGTTTACTTAAATGATAAAACTTCTTTAATTTAATAATGTTACAAATTTAAACATGTTGTTTATTAGCGACGTCTATAAAAAGAAAATTAACTACTGCTGCTATATTTATATCCCCTATTTTGAGAGTCAACTCGAGAAGAGTTTTTACTTCGTTTCGGGAAGGGTGCGCACATGCGCATTTACACTGATTTTATAACTCTAGTCAACCCAAGTTGGACGAATCGAAGTAGGCCATGAAGCTTGATTCCCAATTTCAGATAGCTCCGATTTGTAGTTACTGAGAAAAATGACAAAAATTTCAAATATGGCTATTATGTGAAAGAATATACAAGTATTCAGTAAACAGGAAGTTGTAGAGAAATGAATCGAAAAATAGATTACACAGTAAAGCATACTCACGTTAGGCTTTATACCAAATTTAAGAAACCTTTGATTTTTGGTTCCTGAGTAAAGTTTCATAGGACGGATGGAGGAACTGACAAAACACAGTCAGATGGGAGGACAGCCAGAAAGACGAAAGGACAGAGGGAAGTATACCTCCCTCCTTCTGGGGTGGGGGTATAAAGCTCTGATTTGCAGTTCCTTAGAAAGTGTGACAAAAATATCATGGTACCAGTTCACCCTCTCCTTCTGGGATATAATAAAATAAATGTGGATAGTGTCCACATGTGGACACAGATGATGCCCCCGCTTGCATATCATATAGTTATAAAGGGACATAACTGAAGAACGGTAAAAGTGACGCTACCCAAATTTGAACTTGATCTGAGTTTGTAGTAATAAGCATTGTGTGTAATAAGCATTGTGTGTAAGTCTCATAAAAATTGGTTGAGGCTAACTTAAGTAGAGAACAGAAACTAAAAATTCAGCAATTTCTATTTGTAAACACGTATAACTCTAGAACGGTTGGGTATAAGTTTTATAACATTTGGTTGAGACAAACTAAAGTTAGAGAAAGGAAACGAAAAATTCAGCAATTTTCTATGTTTATAAAGGGACATTACTCAAGAATGGTAAAAGTGTCGCCACCAAATTTCGTACTTAATCTGTATTATGTAGTAATAAGCATTGTGTATAAGTTTCATAACATTTGGTTGAGGGAAACTAAAGTTAGAAAACAGAAACAAAAAAAATTTGTACTTGATTTTAGTTTTGTGGTAATGAATATTGTGTATAGGTTTCATAATGTTTGGTTGGGGCAAACTTAAGTTACAGAATGGAAACTTAAAATTTTGCAATCTTTCGATTAATAAAGGGGCATAACTCAATAATGGTTAAAGTGACACTACCCAAATTCAACTTGATCTGTGTTTTATCAGTGGAAGTAAAAATTAAACATTAAATTGTATAAAGCATTGATTGCAGTTGATTCAACTATAATCATGGATAAAGGAAGATAACTCCAATTTTTTAAAAATTACTTGATATATAGAAGAAAATAAAAATTTCGCAATTTTTCCATTTATAAAGGGGCATAACTCTAGAACGGTTAAAATTCAAACTTGATCTGTGTTTTGTGGAAATCAGCATTGTGTATAAGTTTCATAACATTTGGTTGAGGCAAACTTAAGTTAGAGAACAGAAACTAAAAATTTTGCAATTTTTCCATTTATAAAGGGACATAACTCTAGAACGGTTAAAGTGACGCCACCAAAATTCAAACTTGATCTGTATTTTGTGGTAATAAGCATTGTGTATAAGTTTCATAACATTTGGTTGAGGCAAACTCAAGTTAGAGAACGGAATTTTGGGACGTACGTACGTACAGACGGACAAGGGTAAAACTTAATGCCCCCACCGCTAAGGCGGGGGCATAAAAAACTTATGGAACAGAAGGACTGACAAACACATACAGAAGAACAAATATAAACCAGTATATCTCCCTCCTTCTATAAACCATATTCTACATAATTCACTGTTGTAAATCTCTCTCTTTGAAATAGAAATACAAATCTACCTGCTTCTAGAACACATTCCATAGGTGTAGTGAGCTGTAACAGTGGATATCTGGTAAGGTCTGGCTTTGATAGGTCAACAGCAAATACAGGGTCTAAACTATGCTCATACTCTGGGTATAAATAAGGTACATCAGATTGTGGAAAAAACACCCATCTGTAAAAGAACATAATAAACATTGTAAAAACAGGAGATCTACAACTTTATATAAATTTGCTCAATTGAGCTATACAAAATTATCTCCCTTTATAAAAACAAGAAGAAGTGGTACGGGATGTCATAATAAAGAAAAATAGTCAAATATTTTTAAAATGTAAACAAAGTATTCTCTTATCTTTATAAATTATGCCTGTAAAGTTTTAGATTGCAGTTCTGAATAATAAAAAAGAAACAAAAATATCAATAAAAATTTCAAAGGGAGATAATTTTTGTTACACACATTTGAGCTAATATAGCCCAATCAATCTACATTAGCTTCAATTTGTATATTAACAGAAACATTTTAAAAAGTGGACTGATGAAATGAAATACAGATCAAATGTATTTTGATTGATATACTTACCAGTTCATGGCCTAGACATTTGTTCAAATCATTATCTGTTCAAATTTGCTATTGTATAATATGTGATGCAATAAATTGCATTTCTTAATCAGTATACCCTGTAGTTATAACAACTTAAACAAGTGTAATACTAAGTCAACAACTTTGTTCATATAGAAACAAGAATATGCATGTGTCCATGGCTTACCATAACCCCCTTATTTTGGCATATATATTATTAATATTTCACATCATAATGAACATTAATGCTAAGTTTCAAGTAGACGTGACATTAACTTCATGCTATACTACCTTAAACCAAACTTTAACCAGATAATGACAGATGAACAAATGGATGTAAAGACGTCTAACTTATATGGTAAAAAAATATTTGACAGCACACATCAAAACATTATAATTATTTTGCTATATTATTGCATTTTCCAACATTTTCATTTCTGAAAGGGGCATTAGCTACGAGATATAAAAATAATTTAAATATATTTTTTTCTTGTTCAATCATTTATGAAAGTAAAATACATATCATTACATGTAGTGAAATAATAATTCTCTTTATGCAGCCAGTTTGGTTCAATTTTGTCAAAATCAACTAAGAAACATCGCGCTGGTGAATAATTCAGCCTCATTGAATCCGTATTCAGTTGACCTTTTATCTAACCCCTAAGATAGAGATGGGTTACGCATGAACTAGGCGTGTTCAGCTATTAAAAGGAAAAAAATGTCAACATTGACAGTGAAACAAGGGTAAACCATTTGGTTGACTGATTCAATCCACAAAAACTAATTCTTATATAGGTAAAAATGATGATTAACATATTTGTTTAACCTATAATATGAAATCAAACAGACCTGGAAAAATTCAATTGCGCGTGTTCGCTATCTATATTTATGTTTATATGACTACTGTCTGCAGTCTTCGGAGGTCACCTCAATGGTTAAGTAGATGGCGTCTAGACTAAAATAGCGGATACCTAGAATCGAGTCCATACATTGTTAATTGTTCATTTTAGACTTTTTTGTAAGTTGGATATACGTTTTAGTAGGTTATAAATCAAATATGAGAATTTGAGTCAAATCGGTGAACATGAATTTGACAGCTAATGCCCCTTTAAGTTTTTTTGTGGTAAAAACATTTATTTTGTCCCTTTGTAAAGATAAGAATCAGAAATTTTTTCTAGAAGAAATGCAAGATTTACATGAAAATAACAGTTTTTTTTGTATTCAAATTCAAAAGATCTTGCAATTGCTTTTACGAATATCAAAAAGTCCTTTGAAAAAAAATGGTAGCTTCTTTGCAGGAAAAATTATGTATATATATATATATATATAACGGTAAGTCAGAATCATAATACAGTGAGTAACTTGAACTCAAGTGGAATAATAGTGTCTTTCAGTCTTGAAAAATAGCATTATGTGGAGTAATTCATGCTTACAATAAAACTGTTTACCTATATACCTAACATAATACACAAGTCTAAATTGAAAACAACGTTCAAACCTATGATTGAGTTGGATAAAAACCGCAATTTTTATACGTGTGCATGCAAAACAAATTTCTTGGTAGGGGGTCTAAATACAGCACAAACAACATTTTCCAAAAGACCAAAAAAGTGAAAAAGTATATTTTAACAAAACGCATTTGACTAGCAGGTCGAACAACGGATGTTCTTAAACCCTGCTGACTGCCATTGGCGATTGCCAAATAAACCGATCACCAGATGTAACAAGATGGATCTTAACTATTAATTTAATACCAAACAGAAATACCTACTATCGCTACAAAATTTTTCCATATACATGGAACATCCATACATGTGGGAAAAAAAAAACTAAAGTTGTGATTTGATCTACATTTAGCAAATTGAACAGGAGAGATAACACGTTTTAAACATGCTAAAGTAGCCAACTTGATTCATTCTCCATGTTTTCTACCTCTTAATTTTCAACTGTACCTTTTCTTTCCTTGAAATAGTGCCATCCAAAAATTGGAACCAAAAGCATCAACATGTAGTTCGCTAGTGATTCCCTCTGGTGCTACAAACAAGCTTGGCCAACTGTCTTTATATAAACTTCCTTCTTTAGTCCGTTGTAGGAAGTCACCTAAAAACTTACGAAATTCAAATTTTTTTAAAAGGTCCACCCATGTGTAGATGAACAGGTGTTTCATAAAAATCTGGCAAGCATTGTACACATCTTTTAAAAATAATTGATAGGCATTGATTCAAACTCACCTGAGACATTGCTGATACACACCTATGATATAAGTTTCATAAAAATCTGCCAAGAATTGTACATGTGAGAGCGCTAACAATGCTATTTTCCATATAATTAATATTTCCAAGGGGCATAACTCTTTTAAAAATAATTGATCGTCACTGATTTTCAAACTCGTCCGAGACATTGCTAATATAAACCTAGGATATAAGTTTCATAAAAATCTGACAAGAATTGTACATGTGAAAGTGCTAACAATGCAATTTTCCATATAATTAATATTTCCAAGGGGCATAACTCTTTTGGCAAGAATTGTACACATGAGAGTGCTAACAAGACCAGATGGACGGACCGGAAAGACACCAATCATGTGGTGAAACATGTAGACCTAAATAAACAGAAAGGTGTGGCACTTAAAGGTGTTGTTGTCTTTTGGTTATTATTTAGAATGAAAAATTTATGATTTAAGTAAAGTGTAATACCATATTGTTCATGGATATTTTCCCGACAGTCTAGTAAGAAGCAGAAAGAAAAACAGAGGGATTGATTATAAAACATGACAAAACAACTTGAAACAGTATGGCATAGTTATGACAAACAATTCCCATAAGGCTACTTGCTTACCTGCAAAATACTTTGGTATGGTCAACTCTTCTGCTAATGGTGGACAGTTGATAGGTAGACTCCAGTCAAACAGGTACAAAGGATCATCCATTCTATTATTTATAATCTGATTAATGTATTTCGACACCTGTACTGTCAGACTGTTCTCTAATCTTGCCCATTCTACTGACTGTTTTACTGGTTTCTTAAGGGTAACAGTACAGTTTCCTATACAAACAAAACAAAGGTTGCCATGAGAATAATACAATTAAGTTAAATTTATGAAGTTTATGTGTTATGAATTACTGTAATACACCATAGTCATTCCTTTCATTTACAGTAACATTATTTGACTCTTGTGTTGTGTGCAGGAAGTAGAAAGTTTCCCAGCTAAATGAGTTGTATGTTTTCCTACTTTTACAGTAGTATTTCTTAAGATAATTTCTCCTTAAAGAAGTACATATAAAATGTTCACATATCATGTGCACTTCTTCACCCTTTTTCTTCCAGTCTATGTATTTATATATAGATTCTTACATTGATACCAGTGGATTATCGGATTTATCCAATCGAGATAGTTAAATTATCAATTTAACTATCGAGATTGGATAAATTCGATAATCCACGAGTAACTATGTAAGAATCTGTTTCTCTAATGAATAAAAAATAAATTTTCCTTTTTTGCTAAACTAAAATCCCCTTCGAGTGCCTTCCACATTCCACGAAGTTGTCAATTTCATTAACACCTGTTAGCATATTTTGATTCATCCAGTTAGCTAAAAAGGTTATGACCCTTAAAATCATCCAATGATCTTTTGAGATCACCGGCAACCACACGTTGATTAAATTTTTTTATACAATGGGTTCGGAAAGGGATAAATTTCCATAGAATTAGAGAAACTTATTTACAGGTATGCAAATCCATCCCAATTGATACAATTTTTTCATGCCAAATAATCTAGCAGATATATTGATGTACCCTGTGGGCATCATAATGTAAGTATCATTTCTGAAAATGTCTGGAAAATTATAAGAGTATTTATTAGATTTCTTTGTTCATTATAATCTGTAATTTATATTAATATTACTCTATTTCTGTGTTAGACTTTAATATGTTGGTTAAGTTTATTGACATCTAGGAATTTCGTTCTAGGTACCATCTTGAACTTGCGTTGAGGTATGAGGTTTTGTTGTGTGTTGAAGGCTCACTGTGTCATTGAGATGAAGGACAGCAATAAAGACACTGTTACTTTTATTTGCTTTAGCTTTTGACAGGTGTGTTGGAATTTTGTGCCAGGAATTAAGTTGCTATTTCCCTTCTTTCAATTTCAAAATGTCTGAATAGATTAATTTAAGAAATAATTCATGGAAGCCATAGATTTGTTGGAAATTTACACATGGCCTGGGCCGTGATATTCGAATTTTATCCTGAGTGATAGCGAGGGATAAAATGAATGAATATCACGGCCCAGGCCATGTGTAAATTTACAACAAATCTATGGCTTCCATGAATTATTTCGATTCTAATAGGACAAATACGGTCATTAAAAAAATGAGGCAAGGGTGGGTTTGCCGTGTGTGTGGCTGTTTTATTTTACCCCCTGTTAGATAAATCTAAAAAATTCTGATAAATCTGTGGCTTGCATGAATTATTTCTTAAATGACCACTAGAAAAAATTGTTTTATTTCTCAAACCTAACATTTGTCATTTTAAATTTACATTTTTTTCTCGTAAGCTACCATTAAATTCACTGTTGACATTTTGTTACTAAGGAGCCGCCATATTGACTTGCTGAAATCAGTGAATGTGCAAATAATGCAACAAAATAGAAAAAAAAAAAAAAACAACACCTACCTCAAATTCATCTTAATGCAATATTATCAGAACTTGGAGGGTTAACGCAACAGAAAAACCTTCAGCTTTGACGTTTTCAATCGTATGACGTCATGTTTTGAAACGACGTTAATGCGCCAAAAACATTAATGGAATTTCGTGGAATTTTATTTTATTTCGATTTTGTACATTTTTCCGAGCTCTAATGCATTAATTCTTTTTGTTATGCCTCAGAATAAGAATAATGGTTCTGTAGGGTTTTTTCAATTGCAATTTTTAACACAATGAAATCTTCATAGCGTTTGCACATAGGTTACGATACATGTGGATTTACGTGGGAGGTATATTTTAACAGCCATTATATTGTACATCTCTGAGTCTGCGCTAAGTATAGATATATCGAGAATTTTATCACGGTGTTGTTTACAAGTGAATGAAGCACGTCATATTAAAATATTGAATAGAAAAATAAGAAGCCAACATGGCAAAAAAAATAATTATTGAACAAATAGACAAAATAACATCAACATCAACATCAATAGGGATCTTCCTCTCATTGTATGTTATCATATATCCAAGCAAGTTTGCAATCCTGTGTATTGGATTTAGCATTGGAAACCACTTTTTTGCACACAAAAAACCACACACTGGAAAAATTAAAAGACTGCAATAAATTATTATCAACTGATCAAAGATTGGTATATTGGTTCTACCCACCAGCTATTTCTTTAACATGATTTAGTGTCCATGGTACTCTGGTCATCTGCACATTTGTTATTATTACTGGAGTACTAGTACATTCATAATTGTGGTAGAAATCTTCTACTGTCAAATCATTTGCTGATCTTCTTTCAACCTATAACAAGAATGTGTCCATAGTACACGGTTGCCCCACTTGCACTATCATTTTCTATGTTCAGTGGACCGTGAAATTGGGGTCGAAACTCTAATTTGGCATTAAAATTAGAAAGATCATATCATAGGGAACATGTGTACTAAGTTTCAAGTTGATTGGACTTCAACTTCATCAAAAACTACCTTGACCAAAAACTTTAACCTGAAGCGGGACAGACGGACAGACGAACGAACGGACACACAGACTGAAAAACATAATGCCCCTAGGTGGGGCATAAAAACATAAGCAGTATAGTGTCAATGTTGAACTTGTATAGCTTTGCATATGGTAATCATAGTTTTTAACATCCTTTTTTCAGGATAGTCGTCTCAATTATCATACCACAACTCCTTATTTTTAAATTGAGTGCAAATTGAATAGATTTTTATGTAAGCAATGTGAATGCAAGTGGTATACATATAGTTTCTACCACACAATCTGTTGATTACAAAAATCAAAGCTGTTATATCACAAGGAAAGATAATATACTAGAACAGATAATCATCTTAACTAACAAAGATTAAAAATATCTATGAACAGCAACTATACCTAACCCTGTGAAAATTGAAAAAAATTCCTAAAATTGTGTGTCAAAAATATTGGTAGGAAATTTCAAAGCATTTAGTCATTACAAATCTGAAATTAAGAAAATTTTAAAAATAGATAAAGACAAGAACTGAATTGGTTTGTCTTAAAATTCCAACCATGTCTGTACAGACTACCTGTTTATTTGAGGGGAACTCTACTCCTGGTTGGACTCTTTGCACACCTTCTTCTTGTATTGTCTTGATTTTCAAAATTCTTTTCAATTTCTGTAATAACCATTTATATTCTTTTTCTGAAATATTTATAAACTACCTTGACATTTAAGTTCGCTTTTATTTTTATCAATAATACAGGAAAAGTACTACTGATACTATCTGTAAGGAAATGAAATAATTAACATGTTGGTACATTTCTTAAAATACTTAAACTTATGAAATGCATAAATGATTGTTCACCTATTCAAAACAGGATATGTTTACAATTTCTAGTAAAAGTACTTCTTGTTGTTTTTCCAAATCATTGAAGGATGCATTTACTTGACCCAAATTTCAAGATATTACATATAGATTGTACTTGTTTATCAGTCAGTAAATTTCCAATTAGTAATTTCATAGTCAATTTATCCAGTATCCAGTGTTTTTGGCATCAGCACCTTCAAATGATGCATATTGAATATTACTTTTCAATTTATAAATAATATAATTGTGCTAAAGCTAGATTGCAACTCTTTCTGGAATAGTTGAGCTGAGATAAACCTTTTAAAGTTGACTAAGGTAATTTAGAGTTCCTAAAGTTTTAGTCTATAGTAGGCAGTTTCCATTGAATATTTATTCCATAAAGACATGTCAAGCAAAATGAAATAAGTATCATGTTTTTATATAAAATATATATTGTTGATGTTTGCAATTAAACCCTTGTTCATATAATAATATCAATATTAGTCAATTTACAAACTAATTTCCATTTATTTAAAACTTCAAGGCAAAATAGTGAGAACTTTTGTCTAGAGCTAAGGCTCCAGTGAGGTACCCCCTAAGGTTACAAGGTCGAGTTTAAATTGCCTCAGGTCACCAGGTCACTTTTATTTTTTTGGGGGTTTGAACATTTTTAAACGTCACAGGTCATTCTAAATGAGATGTCAGGTCGCATGGTCGCCCGCCAAATTGGTTGATCATTTATATGAGAAAATATGCATTAGCAATCTGGTTGTCTAAGAATGTCAATAAAGGACAGCAATTCTACATTCCCTGTTGTAACAAACATTTATAATCAAACATTTATGTTACATGCATGTATTAATGGATAGAAACTAACATTTATATGTATGAAAAAAATTCAGAAATTTTCCTGAAAGACACTTAAATGTATAGACATTCAATATAAGACTTAAAAAATATGGTCATCACACTTATATTCTACAGAAATAAAAGTTTCAAATTTTAACAATTTTACATTTACCTGGGGAAAATAATTTTTTTGCAAATAAAACAAATCCAGGATTGACAAGTTTAGTGAATGTCATGCATTTGTAATATACTTCAGTTTTGAGATAGTCTGTTTTTCCGTGTCCGATATCATTTTACTCACAAAAGTCATGTAATAGCGTCAGATATCTATGCAGTGTTGGCATGGATACAACATTGTCTGCATGAAAACATCAACATAAGGGTGATGTCACCTTACAGTAAGTTTTCATCAGGGTGAGGGGTCAAAATAGAAAAGTGTGGTTGAACTTTTAAGTGGAAATCTATTAAAATCATTCAATTTACTTATTTCGCCTGTGTGAAAAAATTGGCAGATATATAATAAAATGTCACGTGATACAACTTTTTCAACCGTCACATTGAAGCAACAACTAACCACAACTCTCCTATTATATAGCCCCAGTAATGTCCTATGCAGTGAAAATGCTAACTCCTTACTTGGGTCTTTTTCCCCACTTAAAAATATATAATTATGTAAAAATATCCACATAAATTGTGTATTAAAGTAATTAATTGTCTAAATAACAATTTACCATCTGGGTCTCCTTTAACTGCATTCTCAAGGTGATATATTGCCTCTGTAATATCACCCTGTTTCTCTAGAAAAGACCCCAGCGCAGCATTTACATCTGCTGAAGCTGACCCTTGAATTAACTGCTTTCTTAACCTCTGTATTTCATCACCAATGAATTGTTTGCCAGCTGGTGACCTGCAATATACAAAAGTCAAAGAAAATTTACAAATATCGGGGATTATCCTTCTCCCTTTCTCATCAATATTGTAAAAGAGGTTACTTGAGATGTACATATTTGATACAAATACTTTGGAATGTTAGTTTCATTTCTAAGAGCTCTAGCTTTGTACTCTTTTTTATCTGCATTCTCTTAAACTGAGTTTTACTGTGCATACTGTTGTACGTTTGTTTTTTTCTATATTGGCTAGAGGTATAGGGGGAGGGTTGAGATCTCAAAAAACATGTTTAACCCCGCCGCATTTTTGCGCCTGTCCCAAGTCAGGAGCCTCTGGCCTTTGTTAGTCTTGTATCATTTTTAATTTTAGTTTCTTGTGTATAATTTGGAGTTTAGTATGACGTCCATTATCACTGAACTAGTATACATATTTGTTTAGGGCCAGCTGAAGGACGCCTCCGGGTGCGGGAGTTTCTCGTTGCATTGAAGACCCATTGGTGGCCTTCAGCTGTTGTCTGCTCTATGGTCGGGTTGTTGTCTCTTTGACACATTCCCCATTTCCATTCTCAATTTTATCCTATTGTCCTAGATTCTCAGCCAATTCATACTTACTCAACTAATTTTTAAAACAATCAACATTTCATCAATTTTCAATGACTTTAAGTTTTAATGCCATTCTCTGGTTCATCAATGTGATAGCATGGAAATATGTAAACTTTCCAGATAACTCACACAAAAAGAACTCAGTCATTTTCCAAAAATTCAGAAATTAATGTCTAATTAAAGTTTAGACATTGTCTAAAATCTTTAGAGAATTAGGTTGTAGTCTACTAATATTTTGTACAATTCACCAATATCAAATATATTCAAAACACTCAGCAATGTGGATCTACCTCAATGCAGTTACCATGTGGTAAAATATATATTCATCTAAATGGTCTGTACATGTATATGTAGTGAGATTGTTATATCTGCCTTCTTTAAACAGGGTTTTATTGTATGTATGGACAATTGCTCATATTTTATCAAGGGAATACATTAAGGAGACAACAATAAGTAGCATATAAAAATTTGTGAAGTATTTCTCCAATTTTTTTCATTTATTGCCAAACAAAAAACTATACTTAGGCCCCAAAAAATTATAATCTTGTTTCCTGCCTTCTGGCAGAAAAAGCAGGGTACATTGTAGGTATAGGTAGGTAAAGTTATTTCAGTTTTTATACCATTGTCTGTCTGTCTGTCCGTCTGTTGTCAACATGTCAGACAATACCTCAAAAATGCTTTAACCAATTTTCATGAAACTTTGGTGAATTGTTTATATCTATTGATGTATTTTGAATTTTATAAATTTTTTATTTTACATTTCTGACATGTCTGAGTTATAGGATTTTATTCATAAACTAGAAGCTCTAAAGAGCCTATGATGCTCACCTTGGTCTATGTGCATATTCAAAAAGGACACTCTCCAACATTGTAAGACGAGAATAGAATGATGACAAAAAAATCTGTTTTGTTGATCTTGTATTGCTGATCATTTAGTCTGTTTAGTTTCTCTCTATCTTCTTTAGTTTTAGCTTAAAACACAAAAGAGGGTAAAAAAAAATCCTCATTTAAGGGCAATCACTCCTATAAAGAGTGACAGTCTACTAACTTTATCGGCAAAATTTGACTTGTTAGTAGATATTGCCTTGCTGATCATTTTTGTGATTTAATGTGTCTATTTATCTATTATAATTTTTATCATATAAGGCAAAACGCAAAAAAAACAGTGAAAATCGTCATTAAAGAGCAATAACTCCATAAGAAGTCGTCAGACGACTTCCTCCATAATTATCTTAATTGTAGATCTTGTCTTGCTGATCATTTTTGCTTATTTAAGTTTCTATCTATCTATAATAATTTTTAAGATATAAGCAAAAAACACAAAAAAATTGGTAAAAATCGTCATCAAAGGGTAATAACTCTAATAAGGAGTCAACTGACAATTTCAAAATGGAAACTTATTTGTAGAACTTGTCTTGCTGATCATTTTTTCATTTTAAGTTTCTCTGTATCTATTATAGTTTTCAAGATAGTAGGCAAAAATAAAAACAAGAGTGCACACGCTGAAATGTTTCTCCTTCTTTACTAACCATTGATATTATGTTGATAGTCCTAAATATAAAGCTTTACTACAACTATCACATAAACTTAACTTGATCCAAGAAAATGAGGTCAAGGTCATATAAACCAAACAAGAAATAGATGTACACCTTACAATCATTCAATACACTAAATATAGTTGACCTATTGCTTATAGTTTCTAAGAAACAGACTCAACCAAGAAAACTAAACATTTACCAATGAACCATGAAAATGAGGTCAAGGTCAGATGAACCATGCCAGGCAGACATGTACAGCTTACAATCCTTCCATACAACAAATATAGTTGACCTATTGCTTATAGTTTAAGAAAAACAGACCAAAACACAAAAACTTAACACTGAGCAATGAACTGTGAAAATGAGGTCAAGGTCAAATAAAACCTGCAAGACTGACATGTACATCATAAAATATTTCCATACACCAAATATATTTGACCTATCGCATATAGTATTAGAAAAAAAGACCAAAACTCAAAAACTGAACTTTGACCACTGAACCATGAAAATGAGGTCATGGTCAGATGACACCTGCCAGTTGGACATGTACATGTACACCTTACAATCATTCCATACACCAAATATAGTAGACCTATTGCTTATAGTATCTGAGATATGGACTTGACCACCAAAACTTAACCTTGTTCACTGATCCATGAAATGAGGTTGAGGTCAAGTGAAAACTGTGTGACGGGCATGAGGACCTTGCAAGGTACGCACATACTAAATATAGTTATCCTATTACTCATAATAAGAGAGAAATTAACATTACAAAAAATCTAAACTTTTTTTTCAAGTAGTCACTGAACCATGAAAATGAGGTCAAGGACAATCAACATGTGACAGACGGAAACTTCGTAACATAAGGCATCTCTATACAAAGTATGAAGCATCCAGGTCTTCCACCTTCTAAAATATAAAGCTTTTAAGAAGTTAGTTAATGCTTTTAAGAAGTTAGTTAACGCCGCCTATCCCTATCACTATCCCTATGATAGCTTTCTGCGACTAAAGTCACAGGCTCGACAAATAATGGTAAAATTTGTCATTTAAGGGCAATAACTCCTATAAGAAGTCGTCTGACAGTTTTGTCGCATATGGACAATTGGTAGAGCTCAGCATTCTGAACATTTCTGCTTCAGTCTGATTTTCTCTATTTATAACAGTTTTCAAAATAATAAGACAAAACTTGAATTTTACCCCTATGTTCTTTTTTTAGCCATGTCGGCCATCTTGGTGGGCGGGTGGAGTCATCAGACACATTTTTTAAACTAGATACCCCAATAATGATTATGGCCAAGTTTGCTTAAATTTGGCACAATAGTTTCAGAGGAGAAGATTTTTGTAAAAGTTACCGACGACGAGGGTGACGACGGACGATGGACGCCAAGTAATGAGAAAATCTCACTTGGCCCTTTGGGCCAGGTGAGCTAAAAAGGGGGGATTTTTCTAGTTTTTGGACAATAACTCAAAAATGCTTTGAGCAGTTTTCATGAAACTTTGGTGACTGGTTTATATCTATTAAAATAAGCTCCCTTTAGTTTTTCTTATAAATTTTTTATATGACATTGAAGAGTTATGGAACTTTATGCATTGAAAAAAGCGACAGACGTATCATGCCCTCATGGTGCAGCTCTTTGTTTTTTTAATATTTTACGTAGACTTTACATGCTATACAGCATTTGTACAGGGAAATGCTTTAGACTTTTTTAAAAGTGCTTAACCAAATAAGTCTGGACCTGAATGGTGATCAACTAAAAATATCCATATATGCATCTAACAACTACAAAATATATAAGAAAAAAACAATAACATAGCATCATCAGTATTACAATCCTAAAATCATTATAGATATTATACCTTGCAATCACCTTTATTAATGTATGTGGATGACATCCTTTAACAGCTGCAGTATCTTTGGTTCCACATTGAGATTGGTTACGTCTCCACCATTTAGCTAAAGCAGTGTTTGCAAGACTTTCTTTTTCTCCACTGTATTTACTTCTTTTCGGATGAGAGTCTAAAACCTGCACTTCTATACTCCTTTTTTGCTTGCTACTTCTCACCACAACTTCATTTGAATAACCAATTGTTCTCTTTGAATCAACTTCACCTTCATTTGGCCAGTTTTGCAAATTTCTATCAGCTTTAAAAGAACCTTTGTAGAGTGGTTTAGCATCTTGGGTTACTGGCCACTCACTAATTAATTCTATATCGTGTTCAATTTCTTCTGTATCCATTTGACATGTTTGAAACTTCTTGTTGAAAGAAAACTACAACAAAGATTTATATGTTCTTACTCATTTATATCAATACTAAAAAGCTATGCATATAATTTAACACTATTTACAAAGTACATCTTCAAAATAATAGAAGATACAAAGGGGCAATATAAGTCAAAGAAGAAGACAGCACAACGATCAAAAGATAAAAACAAAAAGGCAAACAAGTCCACAAAACGTCATATGGGAAGGAAATACAAAAGTATCAAGACCGACACAAATCCCACCAAAATTTGGGGTGAACCCAGTTGCTCAAAAAGGGTAACAATCAATTGGTGCTTCCAGTGATAAATCATGTTTAGTGATTATGTACATGTATGTGGTCATCTTTGATACAGCTAATCTATAATCATGATAATGGTCAAAGAGTAGATGGTAAGGTGTTTTATTCATGCAATGCGTTGGCAATTTTTCATTTCAAATGTGTTGACGCTTAAACGAAAGACTGGTAATTGTCGAGTTTTGTGCAAACAGGTAGAAATATACCTTTCAAGCCTAAAATTCATTTTGTAAAACTGCTTCTTTATTTCATGTTATTCCATGTGAACTGGATTCCCTAGTCAAACTCATTAATCAAGGTAAAAAGATGTTCAAGTACTATGACAATTATGCAAAATTAAGAGTTGGAATTCGAAGCACCTTGTTGTCATAATCCTATATGATATTTGGTCAGTTTCTCTCTGTAGGTTGGATTGGTAGTTTACTCTTGGACACCTGGAATTGTCCACACTTAATTATGAAAATGAGATTAAATTTTCTTACATACAAGTGATATATATGTACGTATACTTAAAATTTGGGTTTAAGATGAGGGAATTTGTATCAGAGTTGATCATGGTGCTAGATTCACCCAAAACAAGGTAAAATTAAGAATGTGGTATAAAAACATAATTGAATATTCGGTGCAAAAAATGAGAAAAATAATATCCAAATCCTTTATCAAAGAGCCTGTGAGTGGTCATTCAAATATTACAAAAAACATTGAATTTGAAATAATAAATCCTTGTTGTGATGCAAGAAAATTTGTTTTTTATACACCAGGGGTATAGCTGCCGTTAGGCACTTTAGACATGTGCCTACAAATGATTTTTTCACAAATAAAAAAAATAATAAACAACGTTATCTGTAGATGCACATGAAGTCGTCAAAACTCTTTAATTATTAAATGTCATTTGTACACTAGTCTATCATCCTTAGTGAATGGAGTATTGGATAGAATTGAATGTCAATATATTCCACCTTATATAGAAACTAAAAACTAGAACTTTGGTTCAGATCATTTCACTTCTATCAAACCCTGACATTTTATTCTTAGATACATGATTTTTTTTAATTAGTTGTTGTTGGCTTTCAACTAGCTTTCCACTTGGTCTTCATCTGACCTACAATAAAACCCTTACCAAAGTTGGGCGTCCATTTGGCTGTGCAGGATGTATAAATACGCAGTCACATCTGATCAGAAGGGGGATGTTACATCTGATGCCTAGTGTAGAGAGAATGCCACGCTCTCTGCACGCTAAGAACACTTGCAACAACTCTTGGAGGGGTTCGTAGGTGGTAATTTCTGTTCCTATCCTATAAACCCTCATTTTCCAATGCATGACATTTCCAAATTTCCAGACCTTCATCCTCGACAACCCCTATTACAGGACCTAGCTACCAGCTGTATTTATTGTAAATTTGTTTTTGTCCTGAACATGCATGAACTATTTGCCACTGGACGTTTATTAATCAATCAATCAACTAGCTTTCAGTTACTTCGAGTAAACTCAGATCTGCATGTAATGACCATAATTATTCAAATTCCTAAGCAGGTAGGGATTTTACAGTACAGGATATCAGAAAATATGAATTTCTTGAATTTTGTTAGATAGTCTGAACAGAACTTCTGCATGAGGCATCGACTGTGTTTGTGTATATGTTTGTGTGGCCGGGGAAGGGTGAAGGTTTAAGAATCAAAAGATGAATGGTCGATGTGTAGTCCAAAGGATAGTATTAATATATAGTGGCAGAGGTCATCATGAATACCTTGCTTTTTAATATTATACATATTACCATATCATTATGTTGACTTCCTTTAACATGTTTAAAGTCATTTACATATAATTTATATATACATGTACAACTTTATATATTTCTTCTTTTTTTTGGGCTGATAAATTCATATTCACATTTGAATAGATTTTTCAAATGAAACAGCCATTATGTGAAGAAGTCACACTATTACATGGTCATATATATGTAACCTCTGCTAGGTATAAAAGTTCGCCTTTTTTATTTTATTTTATTCATTTTTATTTTTAGTTTTCACATTTGAATCATACTTTTGATCTTGAATTAACCCAGGATATCAGGTTATTCAACCCAAATCAGTTTAATAGTTATTCAGTTAAAAGAGGATACATAGAAAAGAAATTATCTGTCATTATATCATAGACTATTTGTATTTAGAAAACCATTGTAAAAACTATCCTCTAAATAAATCTACTTATTTCAAATATTTACATTTCTGAATATTTTCCTTGTTGTCTCTTCCTTTTATTTAGAGACAAATTTTTATTATTTTTTTTTTATAGATAGAAAATCTATTCTATTATTTATACCAGATTTAATTGTATCAACCAAAATGCCAAAATCAAACCAATCATCTGTAAAATTTGGTTATTGGAATATAGGTGGCTTATTTTCAAAGGGCATGAATAAAGCAGAGGATCCCCTTTTTCTGAAACATATAGAGAATTACGACATTGTTTTTTTAGTCGAAACTCATGTGGGATATAATTCCCAAATACACAATATTGGTAAATTTCATTATCATCCAATATGTAGAAAATTATCAAATAATAACCGTCATTTTGGGGGTATAGCAATTCTACAGAAAAGTCACGTTAAACCTCATGTCAAAATATTGATTAACAGTAATCCAGATTATCAATGGATTAAATTAGAAAAATCCTTTTTTGGATTTAAAAGTGACCTATTTATTTGTGTACTGTACAACCCCCCTGTTACGTCTAAATATACCCAAGAACTCTCTTCTGATGTTTTTGAATGCATAGAAAAAGATATCTTTCAGTATAAAAAAATGGGTGAAATTTTGTTATGTGGAGATTTTAATGCCAGAATAGGCTCTGAAAATGACTTTATAGTAAACGATGATTCAAAATTTACTCCAATTTTTGATACATACCCTACTGACAAAACCATTATGACAAGAAAAAGTCGAGACCAAAAAATTGATCAAAGAGGCAAAGAAGTTTTGGATTTTTGCATTAGTAAACAAATAAGAATTTTAAATGGCAGAGTTCTTGGTGATACATTTGGTAATTTTACTTGCTATACCCCCAATGGTGCAAGTGTGGTTGATTATGTTGCTGTGTCGGAAGAAATTCTTGAAAATGTACTGTATTTTAAAGTATCCAGATTTATTCCCACATTATCTGATTGTCATTGTAAACTTGAGTGGGAATTATCTGCAAAATATTGTGTTCCTGGAGAAAATGATATTCCAATCCAGTTGAAAAATATGACACCTAATTATATCTGGACTGACTGTTCAGCAATAAAATTTCAAGAAACACTTTCTTCAGATACACTACAAAACTACATACTAGAATTCAACAACAGCACAATTCAATTTACTCAGACATCAGTAGATGAAGCATCATCAAAACTTTCAAACATCTTTTTATCAGCAGCAAATCTATCACTTAAACGACCTTTAAAAAAACACACAAACAAACAAAAAAACAAAAAGTGGTTTGACGCAAGTTTACAACAAGCTCGAACTAACTTGCTTAATTATGGAAAAATTTATTCAAGATTTCCATATGATCCAATTATCAAAAATCACTTTTATAAACTGAATCGTGAATACTCCAAACTAAGGAAATATAAATACAAACAATACAAACAATCATTGATTAGTCAGCTGGACTCCTTGCACGAAGAGAATCCAAAACTGTATTGGAACTTAATTAATGAACTACAGGAAAAAAATGAAACTAAAAAAAAGTGTGGAGTACAACCATCAACTTTGATATCACATTTCCAAAAGTTGTCACAACTGAAAGGTGAATTTCAAAGTAGATATACAGAGCTATGTGAAAAACTGAAACAGTTAGAAAACTCAAAATGTTTCAACGAGTTGGACTCCGTTATCACTGAGTCTGAAATATCCAAAGCCATTTCACACTTAAAATGCAATAAATCATCAGGCTTGGATAACATTAGTAATAATATGATAAAGAATGGACAGACTTTCCTTTTAAAAAGTTTTCAACAGATGTTTAATACTTGTCTGTCTTCAGGTATATACCCAACATCTTGGGCTGAAGGTTATATTACACCAATTTTTAAAAGCAACGATACAAGTGACCCTAACAATTATAGAGGAATAACAATAACAAGTGCAATTGGAAAGCTTTTTAATAGAATATTAAGTCTAAGACTGGACAAATTTCTTCAGGAACATAATATTATACATGATAGTCAAATTGGATTCACAAGGAAAGCCAGAACTGCAGATCATATGTTTATTTTAAACTGTCTTATTAACAAATACTGTAATTCAAAAGAAGGTAGACTGTTTGCCTGTTTTGTTGATTTTCAGAAGGCTTTTGATACTGTTATACATACAGGGATCAAGATTAAACTACTAGATATTGGGGCTGGGTCTTATTTTTATAACATTATTAAAAGTATGTATGAAATTAGCAAATCTTGTGTCAAAATTCAAAATCAAGTAAGTGATTTTTTCCCATTAGATATTGGAGTCAAACAAGGTGACAACCTCAGTCTGAATTTATTCAAGATATTCATAAATGATTTGCCCAGATATTTGTCAGATACTAGAGACCCAGTTAATGTCAATGACAAAGATCTACATTGTTTAATGTATGCTGATGATATTGTTTTATTATCTACATCAGCTGAAGGACTACGAGAAAAGCTGGGAATGCTTGATAAATTTTGCAAAGATTGGTGTCTCAATGTGAATACTAATAAGACAAAGGTGCTGATTTTCAACAAGGCAGGCAGACATGTAAAACAGATATTCACATTTCAGAATATAAATCTGGAATGTGTTTCAAAATACAAATACCTAGGTTTATATTTAAGCTCATCTGGTTCATTCAGTTATGCTCAAAATGAACTATACAAAAAATCCCTGAAAGCTCATTTCAAATTAAGGAAAGATCTTTTATCACTTAATCCTGATGTAAAAACAAGTATTCATGTTTTTGACCACACTGTAAAACCTATTTTATTATATGGTAGCGAAATATGGGGGATGTTTAATTCTCTTTCCTCTAAATGTAAGAAGGAAGATATATCTTTTGAAAAATTATATTCAGGTTTACCCTGTGAGAAACTTCATATAAAATTTTGTAAATTTATACTTGGGGTACACAAGAAAACAACAAATGCTGCAGTGTTATCTGAACTTGGAAGATTTCCAATATATTTCAATATTATAAAAGGAATGTTATTGTACTGGTATAGATTAGAGAATTTAGGTAATAATTTTCCTCTATTAAAAGAGGCATATACACAATCAAAGACACTACATCACATGAATATAACATCATGGTATGGTTCAATAAATGTTGTTTTTAAAATACTTGGTATTGACTATACAAATGCCATAAATGCTCCATTTTGTGAATCCTTATACAAATTTAAGAAATATATACAAACCAAGCTATCAATATTGTTTATTAGCTGTTGGAAAAAACAAATAGATAAATTTTCAGACAGTAAACTGAAAACCTACCTTTTATATAAAACAAATTTTGGTTTTGAAAAATATCTAACATTGATCAAGAATTTTGAACTTAGAAGAAGTTTTACTAAATTACGTGTATCTTCTCATAGATTACAAATAGAATTAGGTAGATATCAGGGTATTCCCCGAATTAACAGAATATGTAATAAATGTTCTTCCAATACTGTCGAAGATGAGGCTCATTTTCTATTTGATTGTAACAAATTTGAGGATGATAGAAATTGTATGTTAGCTAGTATTGCACAATATAATTCTTATTTTAATCATATGAACAGTCAAAGCAAAATTATCTGGTTATTTAGTGTAGAAAATGTTGAGTTACTTAAAATAATATGTAATTTTATATACAAACATCTTCCTTAGTGAAGATTAGTTAAAGGAAATCTATGTGTGTATATACATTTGATTGGACATAGAAAATTATATTCATCTGAATATCACAAACATACTAGCCGATTAAAAAAAAAAATAATTGTTAAGATATATTATTTATTCAAATGTTCTCTTATATCCTTGAGGCATCGTCCCCTGGTATCAACTGCATTCAAGTTACCTATGATGCTTCCTTGTTTGCTTTTGATACAGGTAGGAAAGAGACATTTACACACATTTTACATGCCTATGGCCCATAAGGTATCGCCCCCTGGTGTCAGCTGCCTTTAGGAAACCATAATGCTTTCCTATTTGCTGCTGACACAGGATGAGTCATGGACATGTTTAATTTCTACTTTCTTTTTGGCTAATTATTATATATTTAATTGATCCAACTTTTTGTGTACTATACATATGTGGATATCTATTTTTCTTTTTTTCTTTTTGGGCTGCTTGTTTGTTATCTATATCAACCACACTTGCAATAAAATGCATTAGTATTAAAAAAAACAACATACTACAGATTCTTTATCTACGTATTCTTTAAGAACTTAAATAGTTCTCTTTTAACTTTTTTTTTTTTTTTTTATCTCATTGTTTGTATTGTATTATGAAAAAATTATTGATGTTGTAATGTTTATGCCCTTTGGGGCCCATAATTGGAAATAAAATATCTTATCTTATCTTATAGTAGTCTCAGTGTTTACGTGCCTATTTTTTTAATGAATGATCGTCAATATGTATATATCAATTATCCTCAATCAGAAAGGAATAGATATTAAAATAGTAAACAGGATGTACTGCTTAATTAAAGGGCTACGCTGATCTACGCTGGGCAATGCATATTGTAAATATTTTTATTTTTTTTATTTCCGATTGTACTGCCGGTTAATTCATAGTCAGATGTTATTGTAAAATTATGTATAATTCTTAGAAATTTTCTTCATGTATATTATCATGATAAAATGACCAGTAAATTTTGTGTTTTTTTGTGCAACTTAAATGCTGAAAACAGTTTTCCGTCAAGGGGCTTCGCCCCCTTAACCCCTATCAGGGCTCTGCCCTGGACCTGCTAGGGGCCTTGAACGGCCCTCAGCTCAGACCCCCTGCCGAAATTTGTGCCTACAGTTTATTATATACCTAGCTACGCCCCTGTACACTGTTAATTTGGGTACACTGGGGTAAAACAATCATGCCCAAAGTCAAACAAATAGTTTCAGTGTTGTATAATAATATACATGTATATAATAAAAAACAACATAAAATAAGCTGTACATTTCATCAGTTTATCTTTATATTACTGTTGATTTTTTAAGGGGGAAAATAACAGTTATGCCTTATGGACATGCATGTTTATCCTGGATTTTGACATTTATGTCAATCCTCAATTTCATTGGAATAGGAGAAGGACAGAGTTGTTTCAATTAAACAACGGCGTATGATCCACCTTGTAATGTCACAAATGTTGTGCACATGTCAAAGTGTCTTGTCTGTTAATTTTAGCCTGGGATCCTGGCTCACTGCTCGACGAAGTTATTCAAGTATTAGATTGGGTCAGGATGCCAGGCTGTGTTAATTTTTGCCATGGGTTATCTACCGTTTGGTGGCAAAATATAATATATCTATAGACCAACAAGTACACACTCAACAATATAACGCAACTTACCTTTCATCGAGACTTGGTCAGTAAACATCTGTTAAATGTGTTAAATGTCATATTATTTATTTTTTAGGTCTTATTGCTGATCATTTGATATGAAAATAATCTATTTATTCAGATATGTATCTTTTTTGTCCGTTAATGAGTAGGAGACATCAAGACATGTTCGTTGGCGAATAAATAATCGTGTAGTTTCTTTACTTGTATCTTTGTAAGAGATATTTACAGCTCATGTTTATTGTTAATTGTCGACATTAAATAAAATTTTCTTACTTACTTACTGAGTTACCGAGATTAAGACGATTAACTTGTTGATATTTATGTCTTTAATCTGGGACATAATATAGTCCCAGCTTTAATTGAGCACCTTGTGTACCAGCTAGGCTTTTTCCACAGATTTTTTTTTATCGTACTGATCGTATTGATTTGTGGCTTTTCCATCACAAAACATTTTTGGGGCTTTACCTGTGAATTTTTTCGCCATGGCGAAGTTTTTCACGGCAACTCAAAATCGCTCAGTTAACATTTGATAGGAACCAAGCTTGACAGAAATACTTCAGGCATACAACGTTCGGCAGTTCTTCGCTCCCTGTTTTCTTTTTTGATTCTCCATATGGGAAGTGTGTTAATGCAAAATCTCAAATATTTTTACATGGGAATGGAATTAAACTTGACTGTGACACAATAACTATATACAATTCATGCCATACACCGTCCTGAACATGCATGAAATATTTATGACTGGGCGTAAAGCAAAGAACAATCAATTAATCATGCAACGAATTACGGTAGCAGTACATCTTTTTTGTTAACTTGATTTTCATGTTTATCATTGCAAAATATATCATTTTATACAAGTTGTTATTTTTTAAAACAAATTCTCATTTTACATTGGAATGGAATAAAGTCTAAATGAAATTCTATCACATGTAGTAATGCTCATCGTACTAGCAGTTCGTTTTTTGAACAGATTGAGTAAGGTCTTCCTCCTTAGTCAAACAATAGTTGGACTTTGCCATTCCACGACATGTGAATATTTTCAACATTAAAGGAGAAGGTATGATTAGAGCCATTACAAGGCCCTTAAAATTGAAAAAAATAGTAAAATTATGTAGGCCTTTCGAAATGGTGTTAATATTAAGGATGAATGAACATGTTGATATAATCTGGACACTACAGTAAAGAAAAGTCATTTGTGATGTCACTATGATATGTCATAAAATTGTTGAAAAGGACATACTTGACAAAACATTGCCATTTTGTATATAATTTTTAGACAAGATATATATGAGCTACGACTTTACACAAAAAGATATTTTACACACAATAATTTCTTTGTAAAATACATTTCTTAGCAAAATATCTTTTTAGGTAAAATCTTTGCTTACATCTGAATGTTAATGACATGCTATCATAATGAGGCTATTTCTGTAGTGTTTGCAGTTTTTACACTAAATTCAAGAAGTTTGAGACACTGAGGCAAAAAATGTAGACAGAATAAAAAATATATATAAATACTGATATCTAATGAACATCTGAAAGATGCTATTCGGTAGATTAAGTATAATATTGATTTTCAAAATCAAGGGACCAAAAAGTTGCCTTATTATACCTTTTACTTTACTAATGTTCTATAATGATTAGAACAGAGCAACACTTCGAAATGATAGTATTGCTTCAAGGTCGGTAAATATATTAGTTAGTGTTTTTTGTTAAACCAAACTTTATGTATCGTGATGCTATCAAACACACTGGCAACAGAAGATAATTTCGAGTAATTTGAATTTAAAAGTGGGAGGGTACAAGACTTTTCTCACTTTCAAAATATGACTAGTTGAAGAAAGGGGAGTCGCAAATACCAATTATGATGATATATCGAAACTGTATACGTAACTGCAATTAATAAAATTGCTTTCTACCGTTTACAGTTTTTGACTGAATAAATCGGGGATGGTCCTCCCGCTCCTGTTCCGCTGACTCTGATTAATATGGGGACTTGCACTATGGATCGTATGTAATGAACAATAAGTACTAAAATTACTTTAATATGTTATATAGAAGACTGAATGACGGATAGCATTAAAAAAATGACGATTTATCGCACCGTCTTCTAGTCAGAGTAAACTAAAACAAAATCCAATGATTCGATATCCTGTCATGGTTAGGATGAGAACCAATCTGTTTTGTCAACTTCTTTTGACTGATTTTTACGTTTGATCTAATGCTGTATAAACAAAAATCTTATACCACTGATTCAAGTTAGGAGAGGGTTGAAAGCTCACAGACATGCTTAAACCCTTTACATTCTCGATGTGCCCGTCTAAAACCAGGAGCTTCTAGTCTAGTGGTTGTCTTCTGTCTTTATCAGCCTTTTAGTTTTCGGTCTTTTATTGCTTCACATTTTGTTATACCCTAGGCCTTTCCTTTTATAGCGTGCTATACGTGATTGGGTTTCCTCATTGTTCGACCTGTAGTTGATAATCGTCACTGTACTTTCTTTGACAGCTGTCTCATTGAAAATTATACCACATCCCCTTACTTTCATATATATTTTTTTAAGTCTTGAAAGCATAAAAATATCTTTAAAAATCAATTAATTGTTATATTGCATGACACAGCTGTTGCTTTAATGTTTCCAGGCCTCAAATTACAGAAATTATAAAATGAAATAAAGAACTGCATTTTGTAAACTATCATAAGGTCCTTTTGGCAAGGTTGGAAATGCTGTTCTATATTTTTCTTTTCTTGTTTCACGTTGGGGTACCTTGTCAGATAACAATTACTGCATGGAAACAATGACGTGAGTTGTTGCAGTAAGTTGGAGAAGAAGGTTAGAGAGCTCGAGTCAAAAGACCAATTCAATACATTGAAAACAAGGAATGAAGCACTGGAAGGGCGTATTGAAATTATAGAACATACACATGAAGGTAGGTGCAAGATTTTACGAACCTTTTTGATGATATTGTTTCAAAATCTGGGACATTCTTGTCTTCCTATTTTATACTCACATTATTTGCTCTTACTTTATGTTATTTGTACAAAATAAAATATTACTACAAAAATCCTTTATATATATATATATATATATATATATAAGTACGTCTAAATAAGTGACAACTCTACAACAGATCCATCCATTGGATAACCAGTGAAGGTGATACACGGCTGAAAAAACATATTATATTCATAACTACTCTAAATATCAGCACAGCAACGTTAAATCTGCAAATTTGTGGAAGCAAATTTTTGTTCTTCCCTCGCCGGGATTCGAACTCATGCTATTGGGATATCGAGACAACACCGCCTGCACTGTGTCCAGCGCTCTAGACCACTCAGCCACCTAGACTGTAAGCTGAATTTTAAGTTCAGTCTAGGTGGCCGAGTGGTCTAGAGCGATGGACACAGTGCAGGCGGTGTTGTCTCGATATCCCAATACCATGAGTTGGAATCCCGGCGAGGGAAGAACAAAAATTTGCTTCCGCAAATTTACAGATCTAACATTGTTGTTGGGCTGTTAGTTAGACGAATTATATATACAGAATGTGTTTTCAGCCTTGTATCACCATCACTGGTGATCCGATGGATAAAATCTGTCGTAGAGTTGTCACTGGTTCAGACTTTCTTATACTATAATTATTTCTGTGACTGTATCCTACATTAGTTAGTAAGATCCTCTACGATAGATAATTCAGCTGATCTGTAATATTCCATCTTCATGCCTTACATATCATGTACTGTGTTACGACGCTAGATAAAAACTGACGAGGAAAGGTAACACCCGGCCAACGCAAGCTTGATTTTTGTCGAGTGGTCTAGCGCACCGGGCAAAGTGCAAGGCGATTTGGTTCAACGGTATCTCAGTAGCATGAGTTCGAATCCTGGCCACGGAAGAACAAAAACTGGTGATCCGATGGATAAAATCTGTCGTAGAGTTGTCACTGGTTCAGACGTACTTATATATAATATATATATATATATATGACTGTGTAGAAGTGAGACGTGAAAAGTACAGGTAACAGTCCTGGTAGGGGAAGTAAAGAATCAGATCTACTCTAACATTGTTAGGTTGATTTTCTAGGCACTTTATATATGATTTTCAGATTTTAAAAATGACACAATTTATTTCAATTTTAAAGACGGAAAAAACTTGCGTTGCTATAAATAAATTATATTTGGTGATTGTTAACTTCACGAACAGAGCTAGACGCTGATTTAATGTTGCTTCGTGTGTTTTTAATTTGGTCGATATGAAAAAAACTGAAACCTTTCATCAACGAGCAAAAGTTAATTTCAACTGAGTAAACCCTGTACGAAAATATATTTTAAAATCATCTTTGAAAGAATCGAATTATTATCAATTTTGTTATGCATCCTGGTCATTTATTTTTAAAAATGGAATTTCCTTACGCTCTCTTCATAAGTAGGGAACAGGTGACTACACCAGGACCATTTCACTAAAAAATAATTATAGAATGGTATACGGTGTATGAAAATTATCATTTTAGTGACATATAGTAATAATTTATTGACCAACCTTTGTCGTAAAAATATATGACAATAAGTAGTATAAACACACTTTATCTTAGTAGAATTGAACCCAAAAGTGAGCTTTAAATTCATACTTTTTATATAAATCTTAATATTGTTAACAAGGATTGTGTGGTAAGAAGAATCTAGCATTACATAAGAAGTGCGGACAAAGTTCATATGGTAAAGGACATTCTGCATGTAGTATTGCTAATGATGGGAATCTCAATACCTATATGCACACAACATATTCCCGGAAGAATGGTTTTTGGCACGGCGAAAGTTATCCGTATTGGTGGGTTGATTTGGACAACAGTTGTCTGATAAAACAAATTAGAATATACAACAGGAAAGATTGCTGTGGTAAGTTATTAACTGTAATTGCAATTATCAGTTGTTTTTTTTTTATTGTTGAACCACAGTCACCTGAATTTCTAGCAATAAACATGACAAATGATTGCAAATATTAAAAACAAATCAATTTCTTATTATTCTTTACAAGAAATTCAGGGGAATTTGGTTGAACTTTGTAGAAGAAATATTGTTATGTATTTTGTTAGAACTAGGATTTTATGACAAACGCGATAATTTCTGTTTTCCTATTGATACATTATCTTTTTATCTGAACCGACAAAACAACAGTTCATGATCTCACAGACATCGAACAAGAACACGAGCGTTATGATATTAAAATAAACACATTTTTTTTAAACATTATAATATTAGGACTAGATACTGAAATAAATGCCTACTTGAATCATACAATTTCATTCAAGTATAGAAAATGTAATCTTTGTCTCCTAATATAGAAGCACACAACTACAATGTACACACAAAGAGAGAAAAAAGCAATGTTTTGTGTAGTCAGGTCATTAAAGACGCTCTGTCTGCCTACTGTAAAAATTGGTGCAAACATGAAAAATCTGATAAAAAATCTCTAGACAGTTATTTGAATAAAATTATGAATACTGTTAATATTCGAATATCTCATTTTGAAAACAATTCTGAAATTGATAATAGGGTCCATGATATTCCCATTTCTAGAATAAAAAATAAACTCGAAGTACTCGCAGAGCGGTTTGTGTTCGTACCGACAGACAAGGCAGCCAATAATGTAGTGGTGGTATGACGCATATACTACACGGAAGTTCTTCAAAACGAAATTATCAATTCCTCTACATTCAGGTCCGTACGCACCACTGAGAGTCAAATCGTTAACAAGCATATCACTGCCACTACCCAGCTTAAAGCCTCTTCCGAACATTTGAAAGTCCCTACCATGTACTGGTTACCGAAATTACACAAAAAAACATTTAAATTCCGTTTCATCTCCGCATCTAGTAAGTGTTCTACTACTAATCTATCAGTGCTTCTTACTACCTACCTTACTACTATCAAAGAACTGGTTATTAACTTTTGTAATAAAGCTTATGAAAATAATGGTATTAATTATTTTTTCTACTCTCTACACTACACTTCCACACAATCTAATAAAGAAAAAGTTTTCATATTTAAAAAATGGTCTTTCGAAAAATCTCATTGTAAATTTATTAGCTGTAACTCGTTTAAAGCCTTTTTCTGTAACGAAAAAGGAAAGTATGCTAGATACACTTACTGGAAATGTGAGGATATGATTGAAGCTTTAAATTTTCTCCTAGATAACATAATATATTCCAGACGGTTAGAAAACTGGATACAAAAAATCAACAGTCAGTATACAGATGCCTTTTGGTCTGAGATTTCATTCTAGCAAATGTCCATTGTCCATGACCTCATTTGCATGGTTCAATGACCTTTTGAACTACTTTATAGTGAGTTGTTTTTATGTTTTGTTTTTGTCAGTTATGAGTAATGGAACAAATGTACTCGGTATATAAATTCATTGCTTGCAAGGTATCCTTGTCCGTTCATCAGACATCGAGCTGAATGTATAGTTCAGCGATCAAAGATAAGCTTTAGTGATTAGATCAGTTTCTCATAAACTATAAGAAATAGGTCAATCAAGTTCGGTATACAAAATTATTGAAAGGTGTACATTTTCGTCTGGCAGGGTTCATCTGACTTGGTACGTTTTTAGAATTTTGAATTATTCGAATAGCTAAGGTCTTTTTTACCCCCTCCCCCCTAACAAAGATATCCTGAGCCATAGTTGCTCAACTTTTCAGAATGTTTGAGTTTTCAATTCCCTTCAACTTCGTATTTGAAATGGCCTTCCAACTGTTTTGAGTCGAGTAACATAATGTTAAACAATTCAAACGAGAAAACTAACAGCATGAAGAATGCATGCTAAAATAAAATTTAAAAAAACCCAAATAAAACAGACAGCAAACAACGACACCTACTGAATTAAAGGCTCCTTACGCCTGATTTTAAATGAGTTGCACCTAAAATGCCATTTAAAAAACATAGTTGAATGAAATTAACGTTTTAAGTAGTTTTTTCCTATGCACAATTCAAGTAGGTTCCATGTACTGGTGGTCATTGTCATCGTCATTAGGATTGTCTGGTGATCTCACTCCGATTTCATCATACTCACTGTAAAAAAAGCCATAGACTATGATCATCACTGATATATCTATTTCTATTTAAGATGCAAAATGACTATTATACCGACATACCAGAGAGCGAAGGAAAACATTTCAAACCGCATGTAGAAAAGAAAAAACGGGGTACATTGACCAAAGTTAATTAATTTACAACTTTAAAACTAAAAATGTTTCATTATTTCAATCGTGCAAGAAAGGTAGCATTTGGCTTGTAATGTATTCTTGACAATGTGTGCAATGTACGTTAATTCTTAAAATGAAACCCCAAATCCAACTAACTGAAATTCTTTCATAGTTGTAAAGGTTTGTTTTAGGAGTTTGACTGATTTTTAGGAACCTTACTAAAACGGGGTGTGACATTTATAATTTTTATAATAGTATTGTTAGGGTTTTAAAGTTCGTAAATATATTCTATTTAAACTACTATTAAATAATATTAGCCATAAATGTACTTTTTGTAAGATCTTTGAACATTGTCTTCATAGGCACCAAATATGAATGTTATTCTCCATAGTTTAACACATTAGTCAAACACTATAACATCTGCCAGTTTTTACTTACACACATGCATCAGTTTGGCAGTCATACTTTTCTGACTTTTTTGACTGTTTTTCTGTGTTGCAAACTACTCGGAATTTATTTTTAAATGTATTAATTTCCGCTATACATCAGATTACATCTACTTTTTTTTTGGTCACGAAACTATAGAATATAAATGCATATGTTACCATTTTCAGATGTGGCATCTATTTTATACATTACCTGAGTGATTTAATATATACATTACCTGAGTGATTTTATATTATACATTACCTGAGTGATTGTATATTATACATTACCTGAATGATTGTATATTATACATTACCTGAGTGATTGTATATTATACATTACCTGAGTGATTGTATATAATATATTACCTGAGTGATTGTATATAATATATTACCTGAGTGATTGTATATTATATGTTACCCGAGTGATTGTATATTATACATTACCCGAGTGATTGTATATTATACATCACCTAAGTGATTGTATATTATACATCACCTAAGTGACTGTATATTATACATTACCTAAGTGATTGTATATTATACATTACCTAAGTGATTGTATATTATACATTACCTGAGTGATTGTATATTATACATTACATAAGTGATTGTATATTATACATTACCTACGTGATTGTATATTGTACATTACCTGAGTGATTGTATATTATACATCACCTAAGTGATTGCATATTATACATCACCTAAAAAGTAAAATCACAAAAACACTGAACTCCGAGGAAAACCCAAAACAGAAAGTTCCTAATCAAATGGGAAAATCAAAAGCTGAAACACATCAAACGAATGGACAACAACTGTCATATTCCTGACTTGGTACACGCATTTTTCTTATGTAGAAAATGGTGGATTAAACCTGGTTTTATAGCTAGCTAATCCTCTCACTTGTATGACAGTCGCATAAAATTCCATTATATTGACAACAATGTGTAAACAAAACAAACAGACATAATAGGTAAAAATGTCAAAAATAGGGGTACAGCAGTCAAAATTGAGTTATTATATAAGTGATTGTATATTATACATTACCTGAATGATTATATATAAAATATTACCTGAGTAACTGTATATTATATATTACTGGAGTAATTGTATACTATAAACTACCCGAGCGATTGTATATTATACATTACCCGGTTGATTGTATATTATATAGTACCTGAGTGTTTTTATATTAAACATTACCTGAGTGATTGTATATTATACATTACCTTAGTGATTGTATACTATATATTACCTAAGTGATTGTATATTATACATTACCTGAGTGATTGTATATTATATATTACCTAAGTGATTGTATATCATACATTACCTAAGTGATTGTATATTATACATTACCTGAGTGATTGTATATTATATATTACCTAAGTGATTGTATATTATACATTACCTGAGTGATTGTATATTATACATTACCTGAGTGATTATAAATTATACATTACCCAAGTGATTGTATATTCTACATTACCTGAGTGATTGTATATTATATATTACCTGGAGTGATTGTTTGCTATAAATTACCTGAGTGATTGTATATTACACCTAACCTGATTGATTGTATATTATAAATTACCTGGATGATTGTCTGCTTTCAACTGTATGTCCAGTAGAAAGTCCTGAAAGAAAATAAAATACTCAAAAGTGGTCCAAACGAGAAGAACGAGAGAGATTCAGCAGACTGAATCAATTTCAATTGAAAGTAAAAAAAACACTCCTGAAAAATATAGCAATCTCTACAGTAGTTGACAAGGAGAAGAACGAAAGCAGTTTGTGTGATTGATTACTTTTTTAAGAATGGAATGTTTCTTTTTATAAATTTATTGGGGTGCAAAAGCGTTGACCGAAGCACATTTTGTAAGAAGCGCGGAAAAAAGTCTAGATCACATGCGTACAGACTACATCTTACGGATATCTAACTAATTCTTAGACTTAGATTTACTCCACAAAATGTCACTGAAAATAAGATAAGTTTGCTCTATACTAACTGTTCCTTGAGTATGGCCTGTTAATGCCCTTACTTTTTGAATTCCGGAAATCTTAAAATAGTGAATGTTATTCTCCATATGTTAACACATATGTCAAACATATTTGAGCCTCTTGATTGTCTACACGTTTGTGTTGTTTCTTTCTGTATTTTATATGATTCGTGTCGGTTGCTTTCATTATTTTGAAGTCAATGTCTTTTGATTACCAATTAAACATTGAATATATGGCAAAATACATACGACACTTAAACTTTTACTCTACTTTCACAAGAAAATGATATTTTATAGACGGTTTAAGACAAATTTTGACAGAGTGTGCATTCGCATTTAGAATGGCGAATTCATGACAGGAGACGTTTATCAGTCGATTCGCCTGTGTTTGCTCCTTTTTTAGTTCATATTTATTATTATTCCATCAGTTTGTTTTTTATCTTGATTTGTATCTTCTTAATGGATTTATGAGATTCAAACAATACAATTTGTAAAAAACTTGACACTACTTTATCGTCAGCTTTAGAACTTACCCTTATTTTGCTGCACGGGAGTTTGTTGTTCTTTCATGCCATCTGTAACAAAAATATAAAAAGAAAAATGTTGATATCAATAGGCACAATAAAGACATCAAAATTGAAGAAGGAGATATATCACTGAAGCAAAACAACTATTCTAAAATGACACGAAACTACTAAAAATCCATGTATGAACTAGGTTTCTCCGAAAGCCTATTATTGTTATTTGTGGGACATTTCTGCTGGCACTTGACAAATCATAAGTTGAAACGACAGAGTCTGATATATGCTTGTGTATTTGTTTGATTGTTTACATATATACAGGTATAATTGATCTTAAAGAACCTGTGTATTTAGTTAATTTCAATAATTGTTTTCATGTAAAGACATTCTTATTGCATTGGGGTTATTGTTGTGATGATTTTGTTTATGTTCAATTAGAAGAACAAATTCTTACTTTGTGAAATGAAATACATTTTACCTTTTTTTCTCATTTTAATGGTGAGAACCACAAGAATACTGAAAACAATGGCAAACAGAATTCCTAAAACAGCTCCCACTACCGAGGCAACATTACTGCATGATTTTATTGTACAGGTATTCACTATATCTAAAAGTAAATCAAATAAATGTTTTAGTGATATATGTCACAACCACAGGTTAGATCCTCCTTGTAAAGTTAGATTTTTGTGTTCATGTGCCTGTCCCACTTCCAAAACCTCACCAGTAACCGTCTATAATGGTTTACTTTTATAAATTTTGACTTGGATGGAGAGTTGTCTCATTGGCACTCATACCACATCTTCTTATATCTATATTATGTAACAATGTCATATCTTGATGTTTTATAAGAAAACAGATGGTGTTGGTGACATATTTGTTTTTAGTTTCTGTGTTAATTATACACAACATTTTACACTCGGGGGGGGGGGGGGGGGGGGGGGGGGGTTAGAGCTTGAAATATTGTAGTCACCTTGCTATTGTTGAAAACTGTATGTTGACCTATATATGTTGTTTTGTTTTATAGCGTAGCTATCTCGTTGTCGTATACACAGAATCTCGTTTTATCAATGTTTTACATTGAAAATAAATTGATTTCACGACCCTTTCATCTTTGGCTTCCAAACCTTAAAGCTTTTAGCGTTGAAGGTTTACGAAGAGAAGTTCTTCATAAAATAAAACTATTAAATATCTCATTAAGATTATTTCACATTAGTTTTTATTTTGAATAGACAAAAATTTGAAGACAAAGAGAAGTTTTTGTTTATCTCTGGTTATATTTTGTCGTTTATTATGTTAAATAATGCTTCATGCTGCTTAGCGAATAAAAAAGGACACTGAATCTGATATATAGGAGTAATACCACTATTGCTTTTCCCCAATAAGTCTTTGTTAAATTGGCATTTTTCTAAAAAATATTGCAGAATTTATCTTTGTTTCAAATAAAAAACTACTTAGCATGAGTAAAGTTTTATCTTGTCCAGTACTACAGTGAAAATTTCACATTACATTTCATTGCATAATAACCATCACCGGAAGTAGACCAATCAAATTTTCACCATTTTTTACCTATTTACAAGCTTTAGTAACCATGTCATCTCAAGTTTCCAAAATATTTTATAGAAGCACCAAATAAAAAAAGAATGGTGCTTTGAAACACCCAAGATATATGTTTATGTTTTATTGCAATGAAAATGTAAGATTAATTTTCTACAACTGTCTAATTCAAGGGAATATTTTTTTCCGACCCTTTTTCGTATGAAACCGGATGTGACGTACAATGATTTGGTGGTATTACACCTATATAGGTTTAAATGACAGTAAGTTACTTTTTTCAATGCAAGACATATTCGATTGGTTTATGTGTACGTCAATTACAGCTCGACCGAAACGTTTGTTGTCTGTCAACTCGGTAGCCTGTAAACAAAAGTAAAGAATATTGATGCGTATCGAAAGGAAGAACATATAAATAAGGACAAAAACTTTGGAAATTACACAAACATGGAACATAAAGAATTACCTCTGCTGGTGGACTTTTAGTCTCTAACGTTATAACCTGCCTAGTAGGCAGTACTTCAGTACTGGCATGCAAATGCTGAAATTGTGTTATTGAAATTTGTTGTTTTATAGTTAGGATTATTTTAAATTAAGGAATGTATCCCCTCCTACGAAGCTTGAATTCCTTGTCCGGGTTTAGTAATACTTTTTGTCCTTTCTGGCTTTATCATCTCTTCAACGTCTGTATCAGGTTTTGGATTTTCAAATATTTTATCCTCGAGTATCACTAATTGTCAAAATGAGCATCTGGTATGTTAATTGTTGATCATGTACGTTATAGTCGTCGCTATGCATTGATGTTCAAGGCAACATGAATCTGCTCTCGGTGTGTTTGAGATTGTTATTGAGGTAGCTGTAATCACAAAATAGTTAACGTCGTCCCAAAATTGTATTTTAGAAGAAATGTAGATGATTCTATAAAAGCTGAAGAATTTTTAACTTTTTTTCGCGACTTTCATCTTCGTATTCCTTAGAGATTTCCTACAATTCAGCGATTCTTCTGACTTTGTTTACCTTTATTATGATTTTCAAAATATTAACGTCACTGCTACCGAAAGGTTCAGTTTGCGATACTATAGCACTGAAAAATGTTCCGCTGTTTGTCGTATTTACCAGGGCAAACTTGTCTTTATACCCCGGAGGCAAGGCTAAATGGAAACAAAAAAGTACTTTAAGAAAATGTATTCAAGATACAATTTATATGATGTTTCGATCTGCTCATTAAATTTAGATCATCATTTCTACACAATACAAATAACTATTCGATGTTTTATGAAACTTGTGACTGGACTGGTGAATGTCGTACCTTAAATAAATCAATTAATAACCAGCCCAGTAGCCAGTACTTCGGTTCTGCCAGTTACGAAAATACGGATATTATGTTATTAGATTTTGCTGCTACAAAATTTTGGAAATTATTTTAATTCAAAGAATATTCGTACAAACCTCTGATTCCTTGCCCATGATGCCCAGCTTTGGCTATACTTCTTGTATGTTTTTGATTTTCAAATATTTTGGTCTCGAGTGTCACTGAAGAGACATTTATTGTCCAAATGCGCATCGGGTCCAGAAATTGCCACTGTCTATGTTATTATTATTGGGAGACCTCTGCTGATGGGCTGTAGTTCAGAGTACTTCGGTACTAGCATGAAAATACGGATATTGTGTTTCCAGTATTAATAGTTGCTGTTACAAAATTTTGAAAATTATTTAGATTAAGGAATGGATATCTCCCTCATGTAAAGCTCTGATTTCTTGTCCGGCTTCGGCTATAATTTTTGTCCTTTTTGGTTTATAAGCTCTCCATTTTTTTAATGAGTTTTGTATTTTTAAATATTTTGGTCGAGCATCAATGAAGAGATAATTATTGTCGAAATGCACATCTGGTGCAGAAAAATTGGTACCGTTAATGTTATTATCTTTATATTCTATACAGACACAGTTACCGTAGATCGTGTGTTTTCACGTCGGGTTTTGTTCTCGGCTTGGTATATTTAGGCAGTTCAATTTTATTTTTGCGTTTCATGGCTTTGTACATACAATGCTTTTAAATGAAGCATGAAGCGTCCGGAGAGTAAATGTCTCTGTTTATTTTCTACCGCAAAATTAAGAAACACGATACAAGTTTCTGATACGGTGCAAGATATTATGATTTCCACACAGCAGGAATCACCCGGAGGATCTTCCTTAACGTTTTATTTTTTCTTAATATTATTTCAATACTCACTTTCAACAATGCTCATTTGTATACGTGCATTTGAAGTGTCCTGGTCCCTTGCTTTTATGGAATCTATCATAGTCTGGTTTTCAGCCGCCCTTAGAACTAGTTGTGTTCCCTAGAAATGATAAGATTCAGTGGCACTCTGTACATTGAATGTTACCCTTTTGTAATTTTCTGCTTTAATATCATTAAAAAAGAACTTCGGGCGTATTGCATATGAAAATTATTGTCCTCATACCGGCTGTAATGTTTACATTGGAAGTGCATACACATATATTGAGTAATCATTTAATTGTTACTGATGTTATGAGAAATTTCCATCTTATTGTAAATTTGGCCAGAATATTCATTTAAAGATGCAAATATTGCCATTAAATACTAACCCAACTGAGTCCTTAGGATACACATTTCAATATTAATAGAGAGGCAAAAGATACCAAGGGACATTCAAACTCATAAGTCGAAAATAAACTGACAACGTCATGGCTAAAAAAGAAAAATACAAACAGACAAACAACAGTACATAAAACACAACATAGAAAACTAAAGACTAAGCAACATGAACCCCATCACACACTGGGTGTGATCTTAGGTGCCCAGGAAGGGTTAGCAGATCCTGCTCCACATGTGGCACCCGTCGTGTTGCTCATGTAAGTACACACCTTGTGATAAGTCTAATTCGATAGGTCACATTAACTTGATCTGTAACTTCTTATAATACGACCATATGAAAACAAATCGAATCAATTGATTTAGGCATTACAGAAAAAGCGTGGAAAACTATATTATAAAGCAATTTTCTATCTTCAATATCCACATCTTCAAACTAATACTCTGGCCAAATTCACGATGAAATGAAAATTCCCTAAAGAACGCTACCGGAATCAAACTGGAACCCGATTCAAGCTCGATCTGTAACATCTTATAACATTACTGTAAACCGAATATCTGGTCAATTGCTTCAGGAATTGAAGAAAAAAGGAAAGCTGATGTTCAAATATTTCATATAACAAAGGGCAAACATCGATCAAATGGGATGAAAACAAAACGCATGTATGAAATAACAAAGCATTATTACTATTTAAAAATAAAATAAAATCCCCAAGATAAAGCTAAAAAAGGTAAAATATACATTTTAAGGCACGTTATGTGATCGTCCATTGACTGCCCTTTAGTGTTGTAATAGATAAGCAATCCTAATGGAAAATGGCAAATGAAAAATGAAAAATTCAAAGTTACATAAGTAACTGATTGTATATGGTAAGAAATTGTTCAAGTGACATTAACGAATTAATCATACGTATGCCATACGTTTCGTTTTTTCATAATTTTAAAGAGGTATATTTTGTATAATCTTCTTCTTACTATGTGGTCATTCTCTGATCTCTAATACCAAATTATAAACATGTATTAATACTTGCAGCTGCATGAGGTGAAATTTCTGTTGTATAGGTTGGATTGAAACAAACATTATCCACTCGAAAGCAGCCATGGTAGTCAAAAACTGGACCAAGGTCATCTCCATCGGTCACGTCAATAGTCATAGTAACAATACTTGTACGTCGTAGAGAACTTTCTGTTGCCTGGTCCTATTCGATGTATTTTGCCAGATTATATCCATAGGTTACACAAAACTTTATAAGACATTTGGCATTATCATATTTCACGTTTAAATATTAGATTTTGATTGGTTAATACGAGGGAGATATTTTACTCTATCCTATGGCTTATATTATATTACCCTTCACTGAGACGCTTGATCAATTTTGCGCTTTATCTAATACGGATGGTTGTAACAATTTTACAACCAATTTTACATTTTTAAAAGACAATAATAACATAAACATTCAGTATAATAAATCAAATAACACAAAACTGAGTGGGTGATCGATTGTTACCTTGTTACATCTCGGTAAACATTGTTAACCTTCCTCGATAGACAAAGTTTTCGCGGGATTACAATCTGATTTATACATGTGTTATTTTTATAGTGATTTCGAGATTAAATTTGTGAACTAGTAGTTAGTTTTATGTATGATAAAACTTTTAAAAGGCCTATTTCAATTATGTTTATTGAAATGCTATAGATAGATTCCATAACACGCGATATTAATCTAATTGAGATATCCAAATGTTCAAATTTTATAATGCGAGGTTGACAAGGCATTTTATAATTAGTAAATTTAACTTTCTGCTATGATTCAATGTAAAATGCCATATCCAAAGTTCCGAATTGGTATTAAGACAGACAAATTTCACCAATCTGTTGTTATCAAGCTGGTCATAACCGATTTGAATGCATACATAATTATAAACAAAAACAAGTATTAAAAATATCCATGAAGTAATAAAATGTAGCGTATACTTACTGTCGCAGAAATTAGAAAAACATATTTTTTCACTTTTTCAAAATCCAACGTAGACTTTATTGTAATATATCCGAGTCCAGCTGTTTGAATTTCAAATAGTTCAGTCGCATCATGTAGACTTGAATTAGACTGTGCCTGGGATTTTGTAAAAAAAAATACACTATCATGATCTAAATACTGAATCTTAACGTCTAAAATAACCATACAAAATTTGAAGAACTATCAAAATAATAAAATGTGCTTTAGTAGTGGTGTCTATTTTTTTTCCGACTCATGGTCATTGATTTTCTCTTGGTATATTCTCCTTCTTGTTTAAATGATGGTAGTCGCATACATATGTTGTACTGTATTATATTCAAGTTTCCAATTATTAATTCAGACTATACCAAGATGTGTAAAAAGTTTGTAACGTACTTCGAAACTATGCTATTAGTGTTTTTACAGTAGTGGAAAAATTTATTTTCCACGGAAGTCAACATATTCCTTTCTTCCATTAAACCACCAAGTGCCTATATTTAAAGAAACTGAGAGGCATACTCATTATTCACATGCATTAGTCACCGGAAAGACTCAGACCTATGAACATTTAAAAAAAAAATTGTTTACAAAATTTAAGTGCTTTTACTCAACTCCAATCTCAATTCCTTGAAATTTTCCATGTAGTTACAAAAAAAAATCCCATAATTTAAGTGGTATTAGGACAGATTTTGTTTTTCGTTGTTGTTTCTCGTTTGTACATCTGTTGTTTTTTTTTTTCGGAAAAGTTGGGTGTTCATGGTTGGTGTTGTCCCTTGTGCTGTTCAGTATTTTTGTTGATTCCTATACTCTTTTTTAAGTATTATTAAATCACCAAAATAATCAACAAATTTGATTTGCAATTTATCTTAGACCATAATAGGTTTTTAAACAAAATATTATACATGGATGTACACATAGTATAGTGGACTTATATTTTCTACTTTTTTTGCACTTTTACCCTTTCAACTCCTTATCACTTCGACAAAACATGATGATTTCGAGGTTACAGATCATGAATGTCACCATATTAATGGTAATTTTATTGACTAAATATTAATTATCATGATATGTAGTTTAAGGCCACTCTGGGGGTAGCAAAACACATTAAAACATCATGACAATTTCACTGATGGCTACTATGGTATATAGTGTCAAATCCTAAATCCTTTCTATTACGTTTAAACCAGGGTTAACTTAACACACAATATAATACAAACAACTGACCATTTTGAATTAAACTGTCAGGTAAGGCGGTATACTGCAAACGCAAATTATTTTAAAACTTTTATAAACACTAGGAAGATGGCCTACAATACGCCCAATTGAGACTCGTTTAATTAAGACTCATGATATTGGCTTGTCCCTCTAAAAGTCGGTAAATGTTTGTGATTGATGCATTCTCAAAACTTCCAGTAGGAAAAGATCTGAGGTTATCCATGACCAAAATTTCTGAATCATAGATATTTGTTCTTCATGCTAAATGCGCATGAAAATCCTTCTTAAGTTTCATAATGGCTAATTATTCAAGATATCGGTGATG